TAAGTCTTTTTCCCTCCAGGTTACTATACTAGCCTAAAAAAACAGATGTGGCTGCTCTAACAAGTAGGATAGAGATACTGTGTTTGTGAGAGGCCTGATCTTCTTCTTCCAAATTTTGTTTGAAACATGCACAGCAGTAATCTATCCTATATGTGAAAGATTCAATGCAGCCATAATGCGTACATTAGATCAAGTATTTAATACACAGAATGGAGTTCCTTATGATAATTAGTGCTGCTGGACTATGCCACTCCTGGTTCTGTGTATATAGTCTAAGATAAAAAGTTGAGTGGCCACAATCCCTCTAGAATCCTGTGTGAGGAGAGGCTGAGGTCAGTGTTCGTTACATATTCCATTTAAGTATATTAAACTAAGGACATTCATCTAAAAGAAACACTGCAGTTCTGAATGATTACTATTTGTTACCTCCACTGACCAGAATAAATGTATTATTTTCATAACTGAAGGCTACAGTCAGTTTAGTTTTTAAGGCAAGATTGCTATTAATACACGAAACAACCAAGTTTTAATTTCCAGTGGTAAATCAGATTTGAATTCCGACTGATCCTTGATTTGAGATGAAATAGAACCTAGCTGATTGAAGACTCATATAAGACTCATATATAATCAGATCCTTGATTTGAGATGAAATAGAACCTAGCTGATTGAAGACTCATATAAGCCAGTCTGTATTTATTAACTCATCCACATCAAGATCCTGAGTTTAACTCTGAATAAACATGCACAGAAATATATAATATTACAAACTACTGTAGTCCTTGGCTTAGTTATCTGGAAATGCATTACACTGAATTTCACAGCCTGTGGAATGCTGAGCAATCAAGTATATAAGCACAGTGAATAGCTTTCTCTTTTAAAGAAATATCACCAAGTAGATATATATATGCCAACAATTTCAGCTGAAATTTCACCAGGTTCCAAAAAGTCCACCTGAAAGCTGATGTCACAAATGTAATTTTTAAAAGTTTCATATTTTCTAGGCAAAGGTTGTATATGAAATGAATTCTCAAAAAGCCATGAATGCTACAGAATAAAGCTATCATTTTATAACAGAGAACCTACTTTACCAATCAGTTAATTCATGGAGAGAACCTCAAAGAACATTCAAGATGTAACTACATTTTTAAACTGAGTCAAAAGTAATTCTTTTCAGTGGACAGAGCCTTAATATATTTTTATTGAAAAACATTTAAAATGTAAAGTCTATTTTACTTTCTGAAGATTAAATAACACTTCCCCCATGGGTCATGCTTTATACATGTATGCACACACAGTATCTTTCTTGAAATTAAGGCACTGTATTCACCTTACGAAGTACAGATCACTATTTCAGATGCATCAGCAAAAGCATGTTCAGTTATATTTAGGAAGCCAGATACTGTAGTTATTCTCATAATTGATTTAACAGCTGTTAAAGATACTTATTGACACTAAATTTATAATTCTTATACATAATAACCTATTCCTAGGACTTTCTTCATAAATAGATTTTATAGAATCAATCTTCATTTTTTTCTAAACTATGAAAACTTATTTTAAAATGTAGAAATAATTTTTTCTAGACAGCAGCATTTCTATTGTACAAAGTCACATCGAGTATGTTTTCTAGTAATAAAAACCTCATTGAGTCTGTATTGCCCTTGCCTCAGTGGTTATCAGCAGTAAAATAACAATGTATACAAATTTCCAGTGTACTCATTTTTGAGACTCTTAAATAGGATTTTAAGAATTTAAAATGAAAATGTATAGGTTTTATTCTTCCAGCAAAATGTCCAGAAAACTTAAATATAGTCTTTTTTATACAAACTGTCCTTCCTTTACAGCTGCAAATTTTCAAATTGTATAATTATTTGGAATTTCCACTGTTAATAACTTCCTAGTTTCATTGAAATAATTTTGTTATACTGCATTTTAAAGAGGCACTTCAAAATTCTTATTAACACTGCAAAAAACTGTTGATACTCAGGGAACCAACATGAGATTACATTTATGGAGTGCTAAGTACTGAATAATTTTCTATCATCAGTCATGTGTGACAGATATTTTACTCCATTTTCCTTCCATATATTAATCTCTTTGTGTGTTTTTTTAAATATCCTAATATTTTTAAACAATATTCCATGCATAGAATATTTTCTCTTTCTAAATGTGATTCTAAAAATATCTCTGCGCTCAATTATATTTTAGAGTGAAGGTTTTCAAACACTTTAAAATAGTTCTTGGTGTTATTTTGCTGGACGATTATCTTTCAATAACAACTTACCAGCTGTAGGAGAACTGGCTGTGAAGATCTGTTCCTCAATGTTGAAATTTAAAAAACGGTCTGATGTTTCTACTATGTTTCCATTTTCACTGTTTGATATACAGTTTACATCTGTTTTTTTCCTTTGAAGAGGTGTAGATAGCATGAACTCAGTAACCGCATCCTTAGTAATCTCAGTCATTCTTTTCCTCTTTCTGCTGTAACTTGCACTTGTTTGACTAGAACACTGCAACGTATTATCTGATTTACTTCTGCGAGAGTTATACTTGATTTCCTTATTCTGTAACTTCTGCTGACATGGAAAAGGAAGGCTGGCTCTTATTTTATTTTTAGTACAGTTAGAAGGTGAAAAATAATCTTCAAAAGAAGAATCTTGATCTTTAGTAGAATCTTTAATCGGAGTGAGCACTGCATGCAAGAAGTCATTCTGAGGTTCTTTATCATGTAATGTGGAGGCCTTCAGTCCAAGGCTTGATTTCCTTCTATGATATTTTTGTTGTTTGCAAATAGGAGAACATCTAGTTGTTAGATTAACTGAAGGAAAGTCATTCTCAGAATTACTGTTGTTGGTATTTTCAGTAAGTTCATAATGGATCAGATTTTCTGCAGAAACTCTATAGTCCAAGTTGTTCACCTGAGGAAGGGGATTATCAGCTATGGCTGAAAGCCAGTTAATACTCTCTTTGCGCTTTGGGGTGGAAGGCATATCAATTATTGACTTTTTGACAAGGAAATCACATCCTTTGTTATCAGGCAGGATTAATTCTTTCTTTAAATGTTTACCACTCAATCGCTTTACACTTGCATGTTTAGAGTCACTTGTGGATTCTGAAGAGCTACATAATTCAGCTCTGGAAACATCCATCACATTTTCAGTATTACCCAAATAGTCATCTGATTTCTTTCCGAGGTTCTCGGTTTCAGGATTTCCGATCATATTAACAAAACTTGAATTTAAAAGGTGACTAGTCTCAAGTTCTGCAATCAGAAAACAGATTATTAAAAAGCGCACTTTATATTTAAAGACAAAATGAATATGATTTTTTAAAAAAAAACAACAACACTAGAGCTAGGGAAAACCTTTGAAATGGACTTCCAGCAAAGTGAAGGGAAGTGGCTGTGCACGGGAACACCATATCCCTGAAGCAGCTCTACAAGCTTCCCAAAGGACACAACTGCTACACTGGTTTGAAGAGGGGTTCTTTAGTCATTCTAGCATACTTTGGGAAATGCCACTTACAACTAATTTGTACAGTCAGTAATAACAAGATTGTCATATTTGGTGCCACTTGTCCAAAGATCAAATTAGCTCTTACACAATATTTTTGCTACTCACAAGTGGAAATTCAGGGATTTATAGTTATAGCCCCACCAATTTTGGGGAGCATCAGTGGGTGAATGTTACATTATCCATACATTCATTATTTTTCTACAGAAAAAAAATGATTTCTTGTAGCACTACATCTTTCTTTGAAATAAGCCTAATTAGGTCTGACTTATTTTTATGTGCATATCAAACATATCTCATTATATTTAATTAAAGACATGGGATGATGTCAAGGAGTTCTGGCATACTGAATTCAATCATTTATGTAATTAAGTATCAAGGTTTTTAAAAGAACAGGTCAGTTCCACCAAAGTTTTCTAGTTTATACTCACATCATTCTAAATTAACTAATACTAAGTTTCATTATCTGGATCAGAGTAATCTTCCATTTAATCAAGTAATCTTGGGTTCTGGCTGCCTCTAATTACATAATGTTAACAACGTTTTACTGAACCAAGAAGATTAAGCAGTTTGAAACTGCCTTATCCATACACCATAACCAGTTTGTTTAGGTTCATGCGTATGGACAAACAGTGGTGACTTCAAAACAGAAAGTTCCAATTTCCTTCTTGCAACCATCTTGAAGACAGGAGAGAAGGAGCCTGAAAAGCCAAATAATTACTTGCCAAACACTAAACTATGCAAATTGTACAGAAAAGAAGAATGTCAGCTCAGTTACTACATTGCTGTAGATTGTTCTTTTATTAAGTTTGGATGTTTCCTTCGGTATTTCAATGTTTAAAAATCATTCTGTTTTAAAATGTCTTAAAATGTTTGTAAATAGCACATTTAAATATGTTTTTATATATTTGCAGATTGCCCTGGGGAAGGAACTTAGTTCCAAAACTCATTGGGCAGAAATAAAACAGATATCCAATAAATCTTCTTGACAGTTCATGAGAACTGCTCTCTTTTGTCTGATCCTGCCGTCAATATCTTCCATCTTTTTTTGGTGTTCCTCCAAACTGGGCAATCAGTTTCCATGTTTGGACAAAACAGGAAGCTTTAGTTAACTGAAGAATTTGGGTTTAATCACTCTGCGCCATGAAGAGAAATAGGGAGGGGTTCTGTCCATATATATAAGGCTAAATTATATCATGATTTAAGCGAAAACATTATTGCCAAGACATCAATTCTAGATCAGCAATAAAAGGCAGGTGATTCCGACAGTTCAAACACAGAACTAAAAATACATGTTCATACACTAATAATTACTATATCAGCAGAGCTATTTCTAATAACAGTACTAGGAACATCAAAACAATAAAGCATACTAGGAGCACTAACATTGTCTACAGCAGCATCTTTCTGTAATAAAATATTCCATAGACTCCTTACCTGTATATATAATTTATTTATTTATTTTATTTTTATTTATATATCAAATTTGCCACCGCCCATCTCGTTAAAAAGGATTTTTTATACCATTGTTATTATTTGCAATGGCCAGATATTTCTGATGTGAAAATTTAGAATACATACATTTATTATGCATACTGGATTTTATTTACAAGGCTTTTCTTTTCTTTTACCTAAAGTCAATGCTGAAGTTGAGTTTGTAGACACAACAGCAGGGCCAAAGTCAGACATCTGAGATAACTGTGAAGCTAAAATGTGAGTAATTAGATTTTTGTTGACTAGGAATTCACAAAAACATTTAAAGCCAATACTAATATGTAGTTCCATACTCAATACATGTATGCTCTTACATCATTTGATTACAGTGCTTTTAATATTTTGGATGCTTTGGTATTAAAAATTTTAAAATTCTGGTTTTTTAGAAGATGCTGAAAGTATTTTATGTCCTCAGTGAAAAGACAGGAGAATACAAAGAAATTTTTAAAATTGGATTTGGCTGGCACAGATTGCATTAAGCTATCACACTAGGCCATGGTAAGAGCTCAGCAGGCAACAGCTAGGAAACTACCACACAAAAGACACAGTATATCTTCAGCTTCATATGTCAGTTGAGTGATATATTTTCATCTAACCGATGATCTCATGGGTTTTTAAAGATTTATTTACAACTACATTCATTTGTTAGCTTGATAAATTCCAATTTCAGGCCAATAAAATCAAATCTGTCCAATATCCTGAAAAAAGCTTTCCATCCCTAAGAATATATTATGCAAGTTATCACAGAAATAAATAGAAATAATTTTTCAGAGAGGAACAGTCTTGAGGTAAGGCTAATAAAGCATTTCTATTTTCAAACCTATTCCAAAAATCTTAAGATTATTAACAATATGAACATATTTTAATGTAATACAATATATTGCATTTCCTTTGAAGACATTCTCACAGATCAAAGTGCTGCCACCTTCTCCAACTTATAGTAAATATACATATATACATACGTATGCATCACACAGAAAGTGAATAACAGATAATAAGGCAAAGAGATTAAAGGCACAAGACACATAGATAAAACTGTTTTATACCAAAACTATTCACTATACCACTCCATAGCTTTCCATCCTATCTGGATGCAAATTATCTTTCCTACTGTGTCTATATTCTCCTTTGTACATAACCTCGTCTGCATACAAAATTACATGCAGTTTCACATCTCCAACCAACACACTTCTAACTCTGCCACAATCATTTATTGTACATGTATTGATAAATACAAAAAAAAAATTAAAAAAAAACCCCAAGGGACAGCACATATCCATATCTTACTCATCACTCAATACTGAATCATTCATTAAACATTCTATTTATTTTCAATCCAGTTATACCGCACTTACCACATTCAGCAACACACTTTCAGTTCTATATATTGAAGCAAACCATTCCATAATCCAAGCCTATTCACTTTAGCATATGCTTTCTCTAACTCAAGAAACATACAATAAGCTTATTCTCTCAAGTTTATACATTTCTCAGTGACAGGAGGAAGCACAAAAATGTGGGCTGCACATACCCTGCCCTGCATAAAGCACTTCACTTCCCAAATTTGGCTCATTCATCTCTTGTACCCTTTCAGTCAGAACTCTGCTAAACACCTTACCAGACACATAACAAACTGATTCCCCCCTGTAGTTTTCACATTCACCCTTGCTGCCTTTTCCTTTGGCTAAGGGAGGGATTTTCAAATTTTACAGTACTGTGACCCCTAAAAGGATAAATGAATTTGTATGATGCTTCATGAAGAAAATTAATAATTATAGTGGGATTAGAATTGGGCAAGAAATGAATATACCACATACTTTTAATAATTAATCACAGCATCACAGAAGTTCTGCGACTACTTACTGGGCTTATGCAGGGAAAGCAAGGAGGAAACCAAGAACGTTCTGACCAAACACTACCTGTGCCAATGCTCATCAGGCTTTTGTTTTTTAAAAAAGATCCTCCAAGTTGCACATGATACCTCCTGGTATAAGGGAACAGTAATAGAATTCTCCTAATTGTTAGGTACCGAATTCAGCCTTTCTGCACATTACAGATAGTCTTCGCTTAAGGACAACAGGGACTGGAAAATGGTCAAGTGGGGAGATCATTAAGTGAATCACCACATGACTGTACCTGATTTTAAGACCATTTTTACGATGTTCATTAAGCAAATTGCGTGGCTGTTAAGCAAATCACGTGGCCGTTAAGTTAATGTAGCTTCCCCATGGATGATTTTTGTCAGAATTTGCTTAACGACCATGGTGATTCACTTAACTACCATCATAAAAAAGATTGCAAATCGTGATCACATGATCACAGGGGGTGGTGCAATGGTTTGCGATGATCATGTGAATACAGGTCATAAAGCACTTCAAACTGTCATTAAACGTGCAGTTGTTAAGCGAGGACTACCTGTATTTTTTTAAAAAATCACACAATTACTCCATAAGCAAACTGCACCCATATTTTAACATTTCTCTAGGTACACTATTTTCTCCTCAGTGTTACCATTTTGTAATGTTTTCACAGCATTTATGTCCTTTTTCATAATGTCTGCTTGAATACAACATTTATAGCGTTCATTTAAATTCCATTCTTCTACATATCAGTATCATTCCCATTTAAATTTCTAAAATACTCCTTCCAGCATTCCCTTACTTCAGTTTTATCTAAAAGCTTTTCATCAGTTTTATTTCTACTTCCATTTCTTCTGCTGAGCATTTCTATTTTTTCATTCTGCTATGGCAGTGGCAGCCACAACTGAAGAAACCTTTATTTATGTAATCAATTTATACAACCGCCCATCTCAACAATGACTCTGGGCAGTGAACAGTAATAAAATCTTACCCCCATGCCCTACTCTAAAATATATGCTTGATTATAAAAATCAGTAACATTAATTAATTGGGTCTAGAGAAAAAAGCACATTCCAGCATATGCTTATCCTGCTGTTTCAGAGATTCTATTTATAATTGTTCAAATTATGAGTGAAATGAAACAGGCTAGAATAAGTCTGAGGGCATAAAACAGATGCATTTATCTACAGTATTAAAAGAATATATAGATTCAATTTCAATTTAACAGCCAGTTCTCTAGCAAGGTTGTGGGGAGGGGGAGAGGAAATATTGGCAAAATGGAAGCAATACTGAGAAAAACTCAGCAATAAAAAAAGAACATATTTCTGTCTCCTACAAATAAAAAACAGCATTTATCATCATACCAGTAGGAGAAACATTTTCTCTTTTCTCCTTCATGTCCTTTATTCTTCTCTCCATTGCACTGCATTGATACTTTATTTTACTTGCTGGGCTGTATGCCAGTGAACCATCATCTTCAAATAATAAAACTGGCATGTCTGTTTCTAAAAATGGCAAATCATCAATGGGATTTTACATTTAAGCAGAAATAAACAAAGCAAAACAACATTTTGAAAAGGTAACATTTGGCACTTGGATATTTTTGTAACATTCTGAAAGTTTAAAAATAATCTAAACAAGAGAGATCTACAATAAATTGCTGCAATATATTAGGACCTTCCAGTGATAAAGCTTTTGGCCAGTTCCAACCAACTAGGCAGAATAGTCTGTTCCTTTCCCTGCAGTGGATAATTATAAATACCTAATTTATTGCAGTTCAACAATCCATTACAAAGGCATGTTCAACAACATTGAGATACTCTTATTTTTTAAAAGATACTCCTGTTTTTTTTTTAAAAAAAACTGGTTAGTAATTCTGTAAGCATGGTCTTATTTTTTCTTTTTTCTCAGTAGCCAAGTGGGGCTATATAAGATTGAGATACTCTTATTTTTTGAGATACTCTTATTTTTTAAAAGATACTCCTGTTTTTTTTTTAAAAAAAACTGGTTAGTAATTCTGTAAGCATGGTCTTATTTTTTATTTTTTCTTAGTAGTCAAGTGGGGCTATATAATTATTGACATTGGTTGCCTAATTTTGGAATCAGAGGGAATGATATGAATATGATCTACAGAATTTGGAGAATGAAAACTTACTTTATATATAGATTGCTTCTAGATTAGCATAACATTTAAAAAAAACTACTAAGAAACTATAAGAAAAAATATTTCAAATATGTTATTTGATTTGCAATACCCTATAGCAATCCACAGTACGAAAGGGTCTAGAGGCTAAATTGTGGGCTTTGTATGTTCCCCTTAACTTTCCAGGACAATTCTGGAGAATGGGTTAAAAATCACCTTTTTTTCATTCAAAGCGAATGTTCTTCATGGATGGTATGTGTGACTTTTCTTCTGTCTCCAGCAAGTACCAAAGATTAGTGTGCAAGATGCCATCTAGGTTCTTATCATATATGTGTACAGCTGAACTCTTTCTTCCCCAAAGAAACATGGAAAGACTCAGCACATTGCCTGGCCCTAATCTTTCCTTTAGGGCAGAGGTGAGATAATGAGAAGAGAGATTTGGGAACTGGTGAGGGAAAAAGGTGCAATGTGCTTTATTTCTTTGTGTCCATCTTTCTCTCCCCTTCCCCCAAATATTTCAGTAGATGCAGGTAAGAAAGAGGGCTTACCCCCTCCTTCTTTATATTTCTGTATATATTTCAGCGGGGCCCTCCACTTTTTAACATTAGCTCAAAGAGCTATTATGAAAACTATGCTCAAGTTTCACAACATGTTAGCATTATTTTTCAGTGCAAAGGCTGAAGAGATTTCACATTGTAAACGGATCATATACTTGCCTGTTACTGCTCTTTGCATTTCTAACTCTTTAGCCATAATTTCCATTCTCTTTTGTAATTTCCGATTTTTCTCTGGAGTTTTTCCAAAAAAATCTTTGGGCTGCATGCATTTGTGCTACAAAATAAAGAATCATTACATTGATTTGAAAGCCTTGAAATAATACTTCTTTAACATGAAACACCAGAATTCTCCTTAGTGTACCAGTTCTAAGGAAATAAAAGGTAATTTTCACACATCACTCTAATACATGTGCTGAAGCATCTCCACATGACGCACTACATTTTCAAATGAAAAACTGAGGCCAAAAGAAAGGTTGAGTGGGGTTATGGCAACCAGTAGCTCCTAACAGATTTTATCAAATTAAATTTTTACCAAAAAATCTTCTCAGGCTACCAGACTACAGTAATTTACTCTTTTTGAATTCCATGTCTCACATAGGTACATTGGGACCTGGGATAGTTCTTAGTCAGTTTTAAACCTTCACTCACCTAAGGTTTTTAAGATCAATCTGAAATAAAATTAAGGACAGCCCTTAAAATAATTAGGAAGTCACTACATATAAACAGACCTTTTTAATAAACTGAGGCAACCCTTCGTTAGTATTCATTGCAGGATATAATGACTCATCAACACGTGTTCCAGCTTCTCGGCATCTGAGAAAGCATTAAAATATACATTTGGTTTAGAATTAAACAGATTTACTATTATTAACAATGAATGACTGAAAACTTTAATATTCCAACAAATCATACTCAATTTCATAGCATGGCTACTTATCTTTAGACTACTTCTGATCTATTTCTTCTACCACATCCAAGACCCCAAAGAGGCACAGCTTGCCCAGAAAATCCAGGTCAACAAATAAACCACTTGTTTGCTTGTAAAAGTCAAATTAGAAATAACATGCTATATTCATATTCAGTTGAGTGAAGATAGAGTACACAACTAAAAAAGTTAGTAGGCTACAAACTAGATAGAAAATCTGTAAGGATATGGATCATACTCCTTAGTATTGCTGGCAGCCGGAGCCCAAGACCAAGCCTTTTTAGTGTGACTTAAATGTCAGTCAGGTCAGTGACTCTGCTTTACATTCTAAGAAATGAAGGCCTTTGCTTCCCCACCATCCCACCCATGGATGTATCAAAATTTCAGTTACAGACAACATAGAACAAAGCATTCCTTGATTTGACATTTTTCTGGCTCACTACCTCAATTCTGAAAACTCAAGAAATCACCCAGTTGCCTACAGCAACTCTTTCTGCCATACATAACTGTTAATTTCATATTTATAAGCATGCCAAGAAGTTCCAATCCTCTGTCATGCTTGATCTAACCAAATCAACCAGGGCAAACTTGAAAACTGAACATTGTTGTCAGTAACAGGGAACAAGGCAAAATAATTGCAAAAGAGATTATATCTTCCCTCTCTATTTGTCTTTCCCAAGGATTCACAGTCTGGTTATAGCACTTAACATAATCTATGGATGCCTTATAGGAAATCTAGTCACAGACTATGAATTATACAAGTGTAAAACTTCCAAACATAAGTGCATGAAGAGACCCTTAAAAGCAATTCTGTAGAACTCATCTGGATATAAATTGCTTTGTGTGAAGACTGATAATTAAATACTTCACAAAGCATTTGAATACTTGTTGAAATATTGACTTTCACTGGGTTACTGTACAACAGTATTTTTCAGGAAAACTGTAGAGTATAACTCAACTATCTTTTCAGATGTAAAGATATCAAATTTCCAGAAATCTGAAGCAATACAGGTAGTCCTCACTTACCCACCATTCATTCAGTGACTGTTCAAAGTTACGACGGTGTTGAAAAAATTAATGTACGGCCCATTTACAACCTTTGCAGCATCCCTCAGTCATGTGATCACTATTACAATCAGGACATGTTGTCCTGTGCCTGACCTGTGTTTTTTTCTTTTTACCCCCCTTGCAGAGCAGAGAGTTTGAGAGAAAGGGATTGTAAGAGAGTAAGCTGTTTGCTGTTCTACACATCGAAAATTATGCGATCGCACTGTGGCAGTCCAGGGCTGGGAGCCACGGATGTGCTACACAAACAGCTTACAGTACTCTCTTGAAATGTCGTCTTCTCCAATTTCTCTGATCTGTGATGGGGGGGGGGTGAGGTGGAAGAAAAAAGCAAGCAATTTCTGTAGGCAATCTGTCCTTTGCCTGACACTTTCCTGATGCTGGTGTGATTGCATTGCTCTTGATGTGTAGAACAGCAAACAGCTTACTCTCTTGAAATCTCTTCCTCTCCAATCGCTCCGCTCTGCTGGGGGAGGGAAAGGTCAGGCAAAGGAGAGATTGCCAACAGAAATCACTTGCTTTTTTTCTCTCCCTCTCTCACAGAGCAGAGAGATTGGAGAGGAAGAGATTTCAAGGAGTACTGTAAGCTGTTTGTGCCCATAGTTCCTAGCCCTGGGCTGCTGGCATAATCACATTGCTTTCAGTGTGTACAAGACAGTAAGTAATTCCAAAGGGTGGGGGGGTGGTGGTTAGGAGGCAATCAAAAGCTGAAGGTGTGAAACTGAGTAGTCTTCTCTTTCCAGCCACAAAGCACAGTCATGGTCACACGATTTCCCACTTAGTGACTGCTTCGCTTAGTGGCAGAGTTACTGGTCCCAATTAGGGTCCTTAAGTGAGGACTAGGTGTATAAGTATTTTTAGGGGAGTGGACCAGTAAAAAAAAAAAAAAAGTAAAATTTAATTTTTAATACTGTTTACAGATATAAAGACATTTGTTATTTTGTAAAATGTATGACATATAATTTGGATTGCTTACCAAAATACCACTTATTCAGACAATAAAGATAAATTTATTTTAAAATGTTTCTCATTTTATTATAAATTATTATTATAAATTAAAATTGTTTTAAACTTTGTTTTTAATATTTGCTACAAGCTGCTCAAACTCTAAGGAATATTACATCTATTTTGTCTATTTAAGAGAAGTGGGGAGGCAAAGAGTGAATACTGAAGCTGAAGAAACCATCAGCGTAGTAGTAAAACAAAGAAAGGTATAAAGTTATCCTCCATCGTATCAAGCAGAGAGAGAACGCACTAATTTAAAAAATGAAAAAAGGTTCAGAATACAAATACAAAATTTTGTCTATATTTTAATATGCTTTTCCACCTTTTAATGTGTTATTTCTTGATCTGGTGTATTTCTAAATACAGACTTATTTCACACCAAAATAGTTTAATTCAAAATTAGAATAATGGGAAATATTTCATAATTTTATTTCCAATTATTCCAGTTTTCTAGATAAAAAGAACAGGAAAATATTTTTTGTCCAATTTTGTCCACTTTTTTCAGGATCTTCACATCTCTATTTAGGCAGCAGTCAGTAACCCAGAATTTTACATAATGTTCCAGGTACCAACAGATAAGATTTGGTAGTTTTTATTTCCAATTATTCCAGTTTTCTAGATAAAAAGAACAGGAAAATATTTTTTGTCCAATTTTGTCCACTTTTTTCAGGATCTTCACATCTCTATTTAGGCAGCAGTCAGTAACCCAGAATTTTACATAATGTTCCAGGTACCAACAGATAAGATTTGGTAGTCATGGCAGATTCCAGTTTTTTTAAAAAATGGGGAGCCAGTGGATGCCATTTAGTGCTATTCACTATCATTACAAGGTTTTTCGGAAGTCCATATATGAAAAGATTGGTAATAGTGGTCAAGCTTTAAAAAAAAAATGCTCATCACCTATAGCATGCAGTACTTGACAACATTTATTGTAATTTCCAGATGGTAGACTGGGGGAGCATCTATACCAAAAGTACGTTTTTTTATTACAATTTTTTTTGTAGCTGAAATGGCACCATCCTCAAACAAGAGAGTATCAGTGTAATTTGGAAAACTGAAATTTGCAAAAGTACTTCCAGCTCCCCAAGAAAAAAGAGGAACAAAAGTAAATACAATGGAGGAAGAGACACTGGCAATATAGTATCCCAAACAAGATCATTCGACAGATTCCAATTGTAGAAACTAATATAGTACTCAAGTGTTAGATTAAGATGTATATAGTGTTCTAGAAAACAAAGGAACACCAAGACCTTCAGAAGTTTAAAAAAAAAAGCTATCCTCAAAATTATAAAGAGAACCCTCCCCAGTTAACCAATAAGGACTATATATTTGAACACTGATGGAAAATGAAATAGCAGGGGGAATGAAATAGCACATTGTAACAGAAAATGTGCTTAAATGGCCAGATTTGTTCCCTGCTTTGCATGTAAGTTTATTTTAGTAACCTTCAGAAACACCTTCTGCATTCTAGATGTTCTGAATTCACAGAAAACACTAGAAAGCAGAAAAAAATGGTGTTGCTCTGTGGAAACTGAGCCTGCATCTTCCTATACCTCAGAACATTCTGCAACAAGGAGTTCCACAAAAAAAGAAGTGCTTCTTTCAGGCATAAATTTGACAATATCTAATTTGCAAGCTTTTAGTATATAATTACAGGTAATCCGCCTTTAACATCCCCTGGTTCAGCAACTGTTCAAAGTTACAATGGCTTACAATGGGTCCTCGTAGTTGCAGTTGTTACAGGATCCTTGTAGTCATGTGATCGCTATTCAGGCGCTTGGTGACTGGCTTGCAATTATGTTGCAGCATCCCACTGTCACATGATCACCATTTGCGACCTTCACTGCTGGCTTCTGACAAGTTAATGGGGAAGCTGGCAGGCAATGATGATCATGTAACCCTGGGATGCTGCAACCATGTGAGATTCGCCTAACAATGGCAACTGGGACTGCTGTAACTGCCGTTGTAAGCCGGTGCAGTCATGTGATGTCACACTTTTTAACTGTGTGGCTTAGCCATGGAGTTTCCAGTCCCAATTACTGTCTATAAATGAGGACTACCTGTAAGGCTATGAAAACATGAAATTGCAACAAAAAAATTCAAAGACACTAGTAATGGGATTTTAGTGACATCTAGTGACATACTACACAAGAGATCTGGCATAGTTTACTAGTGAAGATGAAAACTTACATGCCACAACGAGTCCCAGGATTTCAGATACAATAAAAGTTCAAATCATAATTCTAAACTGAATTTGTGGTAATTCTAAACTGAATTTGGTTTTCTTTCTTGTATTTTTTGTAGTAAGCTTCAGTTTAGGTATTCTTATAAAGTTTTTATGAATAGGATGTATGATGCATAAAACAAATCAGTCACTGCACTGTGTAACTACTATAGGGCTTGCTCACTAATCAAGCAGCAATGGAGAGTTAAGCTAACTTCTGGATTAATGTAATGCAATTTAAGAACTTTAAGAAATACATTATTATGGAAATTCATCTTTTTAACTAAGCCTATAATAGCCTAGTATTTTCTTAGAAGATTAGAAATCTAAATGCTGTATTTCAAACATATCTGTAGTTAAGATACTTAATTCTACCACACAACTTCTCAATTGGCAAGATATATTTATCAAAGTTCCTAGAGTGATTCAGACCATTGCTTTACCTTGTCTGTATTATTAGCACTGCCTAGTAATTTATTGATTGCGAGCAATTCTTCAAGGTTTCTGACAGCTTTTTACCCACAATGTTTCAAAGTGGTTGAGGCTCAAGAATGAATTTAGAAACTTCCAACAACAAGCATATGCACTGAGCTAATGTGCCCTCTACAATATAAGTCCCTTTTGAGCAACTCAATGTTGTAGCCAATAGTTTATTCCTTGCATTCCATTCAAATATAAAACTATTATACACTGGGGATATTTGAAATCCACATTGATTGTACTAATATTATTCTTGTAATATTTTCTCCTTTGGTATATTTCTAAGCATTAATACTTACTTTTCTACCCAAAGCACTGACACTAGTTTAATTCCAGCCTTTTGAGCTCTATTCCATGTAGACAGGAGTCCATCTTTAAAGACCACATGAGTAACTTGCTTATTCAAAGTCTTAGAAATCTACAAAAGAAAAGAACAAAGCACTTTATAATGTTACTGTAGAAATGCTTCCTGAAAATATTTTAAATTCTTCATTTCTATTGAAAAATGACAAGTTCTTATGTGCTATTTTACTAGGTAAAGGGAATTTGCAGTTTTTAAAACAAACTGACAATTGTTAACTCCTTCAGTAGTTTGTATCCAATAAAGAGAAAAAAGGTTTATTATTTTTCAGAAGGCTTACTATACAGAATCATTGAGATTAGAAGGGATCATAAAGGTCATCTTGCCTTAGGTTTCCAGATCTGTGACAAAACCTTGCTCTAGTTAACCAATTAGGAGGGGATGTTTGTTACTCCTGAATATTCACTAAATTGCAAATTACATTCTTCATGGCAAGTTGCATCATTTGTGTAATGGCAACTTCACACTAATGGCATACATTGTCACAGATGAACTAAAATTAATTTAAACATATCTGCCTCAAACCACTTCAGATGCAATGAACTTGTCCAGTATTTTAGAGGATGCCAGGACAGAAATGTGGTCCATTGCATCCCGTATGTACAATGGGAGACACTTAAATCATGATTTCACTGTATTTAAATTTTACCAACAGTCCTCAACTAGTGTGACTTATCATTTGCAGCAACACAATTCACTTCTGCTCCACCTTCTGCATAACAATTTTCCATCATCAGGCTAGAAACTGGGAGACTGTGAGTTCTGGTCCCACCTTAGGCATGAAAGCCAGCTGGGTGACTTTGAGCCAGTCACTCTCTCTCAGCCCAACTCACCTCACAGGGTTGTTGTTGTGGGGGAAATAGAAGGAGGAAGGGGTATTAGGTATATTTGCCACCTTGAGTTATTTATAAAAATAATAAAGGTGGGATAAAAAAATCTAAAAAAAACACATATAGATGAATTTGTTTTTTGTTACTCTCACTTAAGAACATAAAAATGATCAGGTCTCTTATTAATTTTCTATTTACATTATCATATATTTTAAAAATATGCTTCAAATGCTAGGGTTCTGGATGCCCACATCCTTCAT